TAAAATACATATGCTGATACTGATTTGAAAAGCAGCAACCATCGTCAGCCATGATGATTCCAATGCTGGATGAAGGCATCCTCAAACCAATACCAAAACATAAATACAATTTTAAATCAGTCACGATAGTTGTATGAATGTAGGCACTGTGGGGTGGTTATGACAATTTTGGGCTAAACTCTCTTCACGATAAGCACCAATGAAGCATCGGGCATAATTGCCGACATCACATTCATGGAATATATTGTTCATGGTTCCAATAGTGCTGCTATTATAGAGGATCAAAGTATTAATATCAGATTGCTAAACAGTATCTCAATCCAGAAGGACTCCCTCTCATATCAGCCACAATTATATGTTAAAACCAAATATCACGGGTAACCCCACAGATAATGGGATCAATTTGCCGCACGACTCCTATCTGAGTAAAAATAACGAGAATGAGGACGGTGCTTTGCTTTGCATGATCGCTTAAATTATAAAGAACAAGCTGAAACAGAGCCGCAGATAATAGTAGGGGAAAATAGGAGTAGCGGATAATAGGGTCGCGGATAAGAGGAGCTCTCCTGTCGTAATATTCCCGCAGTTGGGAGAGGCATTACATTAAACAACATCACGGTAGAGTAATAAAGAACACAATCATACCATTACACCATGAGTAAGTGCACTGCTATATAAACACTGTTATCATCATATTCTTAGTTCTTTCGGTAAAGTCACGTTGAAGGGAAACAACAAAATAATAATATATATAAAACAATAAAAATTCTCACGACGTTTCAACCACCTGAAGACGACCGTTTGTGTTATGGTCGAAACGTCGTGAGAATTTTTATTGTTTTATATATATTTTATTATTTTGTTGTTTCCCTTCAACGTGACTTTACCGAAAGAACTAAGAATATGAATTACTGCAGTCACGAAAGCTTTAAATCAAAATTTACTGTTATCATCGTTTTGAAAGGGGCAGTTTTCAGCTGACAATATGTGTACATAGTGCATGTAACAGATGCACTATTGCTATCAGACAATATTTATTATTTTAACTACAATATTTCCATTACTGATATGCGTATGATTGGATACAAAACATATATTGCATAAATATCCCTTCACAAATGTAAGCGTTCTCAAGCACTATGCTACTATAACAGAAAAATTACATGCGGCTGTTATGCTATGACAACCATTGGGGTCTGTACTATAACTTGCAAATATCAGCGCTATTCCCAAAGGCCCGGTTTACAACTGGGAGCGTGTGTTTTTTTTAAACATAATATTGCAATTACCCACGTACGTGTGTAACACAAGCACCGCACTGTGATAACTTATAGCCTATAACAGAATAATGTACAACACCACCGATAGTCATATTGCTATCAAGGTGGGTGCGATTACACACGCAATGGTTTACACCGCTCGCCACATTTGTGTGATTCCCTGAAACAGGGTGGTCTGCAGCTGTCTGGCGGAGCGTTCCTTAAATTACCTTTGCCCATATACAATGCATCGTAATAAACGTAACGCGGACATGGCCACGACCAAATACACAACATACCCTATTACCATTGCGGTACTAGGGTACGTACCTACGGGCGTTATTCCCATCAGTCGCATGCGCGTTCTCAGAGGGCGGTTTGCAGCTGGGGACCGCCGCCGAGCGAGATCGGTCACGACGGCGGCTCCGTGGCGGTGACTAAGCGGGCCCACCCCCCCCCCCCCCCCCCCCCCCCGGAGCTCCCGCCGCTCGTGAGCACGGCCGCCACTTCACAGCACGACTGCGCGGCGGCCACCGTTCCGCACCGCGATCACCGCCACCGCAAGCAGCACCACACGCCACCCGTGACTCAGCTGCAGCGGCGGCAGCGGCGGCAGCGTCCATGCGACTGGCAACGAATTTGACCGATGGCCAGGGCCAGACAGTTGTTACAATAGTACAGGTGCCACGAGTGAAGGGGTGGGGAACCTTCTCTCACGTGTAAACACTCGTTCATCGGCCGACAACATCTCAATATATAGAGGACCACAGAGCTTGGGCAATTGTTGGTGCCGGCTCGTTGCGTGGCTGCCTTCCCTGCTTGTCTGTGGTTCCTCACGCCTTCCAAGTCATTCTCTCTCTATGAGATAGAGCGGACACTGTGCGGCTTGCTACAAGTTGATATGATTATTATTAAACAATATTTCTTTGTCACTGCAAGCATCCTTGCGATAGCCACCTTGTTCAGATATGACAGGAAACATTTTTTACCTGGCAATACTTCGTGTTACTCAGTAATGTAGAAAGCCCTCATTATTTTTCACGTTATTACTGGATAATACGAAGGTGCGAGCTTGTTCATGTGGGGTTGCCCGGCAAAGAAAGGTGTTTGAAGGTCCCTATTCGGCCCCCAGCAAGGGAAAAGTTGCCCTCCACTGGCGCTTAGACCCTGCTCGTGAGATTTCATAATGCGGTCCCGAGCCAGCAGAACATTGTAATTGAACAATCAAACATTACAAGCAGTGAATCTTGTCGTATTTCACCACGGTGACAAGGGAGGCAGCAGAGGTGTGTGTGCTCTACCAGTAAATCCCATCATCCACGTCTATCCTCGGAAACGACTCCTGTTATCCGCGCGGCTGTCCGTGGATAGACACCAATAAGAGCATCGTTTTTACGCCAATTTGACTGCATCTTATTATCCGTCGCCCGGATAAAGAGGATGAATTTAGCATGCAAAAATCAATCACTCAATTCATGAAAATTACATCACTCGGCTCGAGAAAAAAAAACCAAGATGGGACATTTGAGTAGGACGGTATAAACTATCCTCCAAACGAGACAAAAATAATCGATCCTTTAAAGCACCTATGACAATGCATCAAATCACGGGTGCAGGCAGCATAATCAATACATTCTTACGAGACACTGCCCATGAAACGTCATATACATCCACCAAAACACCGCACATCATTGCTTCAGTGAGACCAACACTCTTTCCCTCAATAACTATTAACCCTTGCCTCCATTCCCAATTAAACTCGTTGAATACATTTTTTGTAAGTTATCATTATTCAGCCACCAGTGCCGAAGGATGCATTGACAACAGGGAAAAACAACCACAGATGTTTCAATGCACACAGTTGTTTCTTGCAGGCAAGCGCGTGACTAATCGCAAGGGCCGAATCGTCCGCTCTTATACTGCCCAAGTGGGAGCCCAAGGCTTCAAAAACTCAAGCAAGAGGCTTTGACGCTAAGTGGTAAGGGCTGACGTTGCATTATACAGCAGGTCAAATGGCAAAGGGTCTTGAGCGGACTGTGTGAAAACCATTTCAAATTCCCGGAACAGTGTGGTGGAAATTTACCAAATTTCCCCAGAATATGCAACAATGCACTTTTTTTTTTCAAAGTCTCATTTTACCGTCCGTGAATGTGAAACGCGAGTGCAATTGAAATGTCAAAATAATTTTGCATTCATTGCAGAAATTTGTTCACGTTGTTAATCAGCTCTAAGTGTGCGCGCGTGTGTGGGTATGTCTCTGTTGTGTCTCGGATTGAACCGAGAGACGTTTAGCTGGAAACAGGGTGATCCAATTATGGATACCCCACTGATTTATAATGATCAATGTGCTCCACTTTCTTCTCATCGGATAATTTAATGTACAACATTGTGAAAGGGCTGGCTCCACATCTTACGGAGGAGAGTGTTTACATATTTTGATAAGAGTACCGAGGTTGGCGAGAGACGTTTCGAAGCGTTTAATAAAAAAAGTGTTTATTCTATAATTTCCCCATGTAATTATAGTGGTGTATCTATAAATGTATCACCCTGCGAATACTCTCTATGGCACCGAGGAGAGATTGAGGATTGTCTCATCCCTCAGCTGCACATGTTCACCCAACCGAATCACCATTGACGTATATCGGTGTTCAAGACAACACAAGCAATTTAACTGAAGATTTAATTACCCCTTGCGCAAACGGTGTGCGCGGTACATTCCTGTAACCACGGCATGTGTGGGTCTGTTTACATAGAGGGGGAGTGCCGGTTTGGTGGCTTTAACGCACAGCAGCGCTAAGAAACAAAATCAGCGGCGGCGCGTTTAATTCGTGTTCGTGCATGCTGCAAGCAACCGGCATCTAATCCTGGCCCACAGCTCCCTTTCACATATTGCCTCAAGCTTAATAAGACTGCCTTGCTCAGGGCACGGTCACTATCAACGGCTGGGGAAATAAAAGTGGCCATGCAGGAATTGTAAATATGCTGGCACTACCATCCAAATCGGCTTACGCTAAAAGCACCTGTCCCAGCATTCCATTGTCGGATAAACTTGGGCTTTTTTCCACGTTCTTGAATTTCTTTTTTTTTTCGAACAGCAGCACAATCAGAGAAAAGAACCCGGAGTTTTTCGTCTCCACACATTGATAGCACGGTTGGCAGTGATCTACGGAAAATAAGTAAGAGTACAGGCGCAAGGAAGAATGAGAGAGTGGGGTAAGGAGAATACAAAGAGGAGAGTGGCGCGGGGGGGGGGGGGGAAATGGTGGGGCAAGGTCACATAGTCCCATGAACTCCGGCCATCCTCACAGCGTTGGCCTTTGGTTGGCCATCAAACAATGACGGTCACTGCATCGCGCGCTTTCAGATGCGCTTCTGCAGCCGCCTCATTTATTTAGAACTCCTTTTTGTGTTTAGTATGTTGTGTGTGTCCCCCCCCCCGCTAATCCAATTAGCACGGTTGGCTACGTACGGTGTGGACGAAGTTCAACGTACATACGTACGTAGATGAGAGAGGGCCTAGTCAAGAACAAGTCAATGACGGGGAGTCCTCCCATAGCACAGTCAAGTCCTGCTCGAGCCCGTCAACGATCCCCGATTGCTCGAGGGTAGATATCTCCCACGTCAGCTTTAGGCAGAGGTCAAACGTAGGCAGCTCCCGGTGGGGGCATGGCGGGGGGAAGAGTCGACGTGCATCCTGTGCGCGAGTGTGTCGTCGCGGGCGTGTGTGAGCGCGTTAATCACCTTTCCTTGCTCCCTCTCAAAGTCCACGTAATCGCGCGTGGGCGCCGGCCGCTGTCCCTCCGTGTGGAAGGTGGGCGGCAGGAACTGCAGCGACAGGTTCGTGCCTGTGGCGACAAACGCCTGGAAGGTTGGGGGGGGGGGGGGGGGGGAAAAAAACCGGACAAACCTTACACACGTGTGTGTACGTATGTGTGGCACAAGCGTCGTGGTGACGTCACCGCCACTTAGTTGCGAATGGCGGTTGTTGTTGTATATATGAATATGTATATCTGTGGGGAGCGTTCGTGTACCGGTTAGCGCGTTGCGCTTCGAACCTGGCCACCCGAGTTCGATTCCCGCTCGCGTCCACCACCAGTGACGATTATCTGAACCGGTCATGGGCCTCCCTTAAGTTGACTCAGCCTATAATGAGTACCTGGTGTGATGTGTAAACATCACCACTGGGGAGAGAAAGGCGGCCGGGCGTGGTGTTGGCCACCCACCCCCTCATGTGTCGTTCCAGCCTTCAAAGGTGCTCGCTAACAGCAATTGCCCCAACACTCTGTTAACGGTATATGGGGGCTCTTTGTCTTTGTATATGCATATCTGGGCAAACAATTACAAGACGATCGTAATTACGTTTGCGAATAATTGGTGGAACCGTTAAACGGGGGAAGCCGTGGGCGTGTGTCTGGCTTAGGGAGAAATACGTTTTTGCCCAACACTTAATGGGTATAATTTGGTTTATTTATTATTGTTATGAAAAAAATATTTGATTTGGATAATCCCTTGGAGATGGAACATCTCGTTTGCAAAGGTGCCCATGGTGTACAGCCCTTGTAATTAGGCATGTAATAATTCACCCCCATGGTGCGTATAAATTGTCACAATTTTCGGTTGCGAATCCATTCAAGAATCTTTGCTTTATTAATCATTTTCCTTTTTAATCATTGCAGCGTTTCTCAATTTGGAGTTTTATTTGACCAGTTTTGTTTGCACCATCAGCCTAAATGTACTATTAGCATATTTCTTGCATATCATTTGCATACATTTTACATAATCACTTCTTGACATGCATGATTCGAGGTATGCATCATGAGATTCAGAATTGATTTTAATAGCGAAACGTTGGTTACATCCCATAGCTATCATATTCAAAATGTAACAATGTTGCAGGTTCCATTTAACCTCACGTTTGAAACGATGAACAATCACATTACTCGTCAGAGAAGCGTATCAGATGTGTCGCTGGGTCACCCGATGGATTACCTGTGCGGCAATGTAGTTAGATTTAGTGTATGAGAACAGCTACCTAAACACTGCGTACACTACATTGCCTCTGCAAGTTGCCCCGTAACTTTGAAGCACAAGAGACGTTGCTGTTAGGGCTGGTTATTCGTTTGTTTGCAAGAGTTTTGTTTTGATATGCCCACCGATAAGCAAAACTTTTTTTAAAAAAAATGACAACACCTGAATATGTCAACGTGTACACATATAAACATGGAGTGCTCGCTAACGATGCCTGCCTCAACTCTCACAAAGGTAAATGGGAGACCTTTGGAAATATATTCACCACCTTTCCTCGCTCAGTTGTCGCATTAAGAACACTTACAGCGGATTCTTCTTTGCTCAACATTTGATGTGCGATGTGTACGAACTCTAGCTACCTGTATGGTGGAGATAATTTTTTGGTAAGAAAAATGTACCCTAATTCTAATTCTTACTGCTACCACTCTGCCTCATACACAATTGAGACAAATCACATTTTGAGTACAGGAATGCTTTTCATGAATTACCTAATCATGCCACTAAATATTAACAAACATGCCTTCTAACACATGACAGCTTACAATGTGTGTGATAAGTGACCGTTTTGTGTCAGATGATTATATACAGTTGTTAATCTGTAGACAATTGTTAAATTGACCCATCGTGAATGCTTGCCAGAGACCAAATCCCTTCTTGTTGAGCTGGCGGGAGTATCTGTGGGGCTAAACTGCCGCAAGGACAATGTGTCACGTGATGCTGATGAAGACGCTCGTGTATACAAGTAATTAATCACATCTAGCTTAAATTACCGTCTTTATATATAAACTATTTCATGAACCTCACTAACACATATTTTACATTTAAAAAAAATTAAGTAGCCTGGTGAAGTCCGCCGACAGTAAAACAAGAGTCATATTTAAGGGCTTGTCTCGCAGGGAGTCAATTCTGAGAATACCAGTGACTCAGTGTGCCCATACAGTCACTCAATTCAAAGGGAATTCAGCTGACAAATCCGCTGTGATCCAGATGTTGTGGTTCATTTTTTCAAAGCTACTCCCACTCGTATGCAACCACTCGTATGCACGCAATGCATATTTACAAAAAAAAACCCATCTTCAATGCAACTTCAATAATGAGCATCTGTGAACAACTTTTCCCCCGCAACATTCGGTGAAAAAACTTTAACTGTACAATATTTATTTGTATTTTGGACATCTTCTTGTTTATCATGTTTACACGCAACCGCTACATATATACATACATATACTTTTACTATATATATACTGGTCTAAATAATTTTAACAGCAATACACAGTGGTAAAAAAACGACTTGTGAATTAAGTTATACATGTGCAGCCCTTTGTCAATCCACCGCTGGATAAGGACCACCCCATGCAGTCCAGTTCACAGTTTGTATTCATGTCCACTCTTCAGAAAACCGTGTACACACTGCGCATGCACAGGTATACACTGTGCCGATTATTTAGATTATTTGGCTGCTCTAAATTTCCACATGATGAGCCACTTTGTTAAGCTATCGTTTGTGGCCAGGTCGCTTCTGAAAAATAAGCTAAGAGCTCAGTGGGCTTTACCTGTTAAAATAAAAAATAGTCATTTCATTTTTTAACTCGTGATTTTCTTACGTTTCCTATACTTTGCACTCCTATCGTGCTTTTGTACTGTTTGTTGTTGCAACGTTCTGACCCACCCCTACTGGACATCTGTGAAAGAGAGCTTTATCGCTCATCGGATTTCTCCAAAATAAATACATATTCTGATTCCGATATAATTCGCCACCAAGGCGATCTGATTCCATTCAACAATGGATTGTTAGTATTACTTTTGTTAGTAAATGTCGCGGTGCACTTTAAGAACCTCAAGTGGCTGCAGAAGTCACTTTCATTAATTACAAACAACACATATGAATCGGAGAAAATTCACTTGTTACATGCACGATTTGATGCATGTATTGTAAATGTAACAAAAATATTAATATATTTCAATCAATACATTATTTTAGGGATAATATGCTGTATTGGACTAATACAGCCCTAATATACGATATTGTATAATTTTTATTTACAAAAACGCATATCAATAATGTACGTGGCATGTGTTACATCTAACAGCAGTAGACCTTGGTGCACAAGAAAAACGTTTAGCGATGTTCGTGTTGAATATTGAAAAACAGTAATGAGTCTGTGTGAACTCATGTCACCCTCAAAACTCCGTCTTAATTTCCACGTACTGAGGGAAAAAAGTATTTGATCCCCTGCTGATTTTGTACGTTTGCCCACTGACAAAGTAATGATCAGTCTATAATTTTAATGGTAGGTTTATTTGAACAGTGAGAGACAGAATAACAACAACAAAATCCAGAAAAACGCATGTCAAAAATGTTATATATTGATTTGCATTTTAATGAAGGAAATAAGTATTTGGCCCCTCTGCAAAACATGACTTGGTACTTGGTGGCAAAACCCTTGTTGGCAATCACAGAGGTCAGACGTTTCTTGTAGTTGGCCACCAGGTTTGCACACATCTCAGGAGGGATTTTGTCCCACTCCTCTTTGCAGATCTTTTCCAAGTCATTAAGGTTTCGAGGCTGACGTTTGGCAACTCGAACCTTCAGCTACCTCCACAGATTTTCTATGGGATTAAGGTCTGGAGACTGGCTAGGCCACTCCAGGACCTTAATGCGCTTCTTCTTGAGCCACTCCTTTGTTGCCTTGGCCGTGTGTTTTGGGTCATTGTCATGCTGGAATACCCATCCACGACCCATTTTCAATGCCCTAGCTGAGGGAAGGAGGTTCACGCCCAAGATTTGACGGTACATGGCCCCGTCCATCGTCCCTTTGATGCGGTGAAGTTGTTCTGTCCCCTTAGCAGAAAAACACCCCCAAAGCATAATGTTTCCACCTCCATGTTTGACGGTGGGGATGGTGTTCTTGGGGTCATAGGCAGCATTCCTCCTCCTCCAAACACGGCGAGTTGAGTTGATGCCAAAGCTCCATTTTGGTCTCATCTGACCACAACACTTTCACCCAGTTATCCTCTGAATCATTCAGATGTTCATTGGCAAACTTCAGACGGACATGTATATGTGCTTTCTTGAGCAGGGGGACCTTGCGGGCGCTGCAGGATTTCAGTCCTTCACGGCGTAGTGTGTTACCAATTGGTTTCTTGGTGACTATGGTCCCAGCTGCCTTGAGATCATTGACAAGATCCTCCCGTATAGTTCTGGGCTGATTCCTCACCGTTCTCATGATCATTGCCACTCCACGAGGTGAGATCTTGCATGCAGCCCCATGCCGAGGGAGATTGACAGTTCTTTTGTATTTCTTCCATTTGCGAATAATCGCACCAACTGTTATCACCTTCTCACCAAGCTGCTTGGCAATGGTCTTGTAGCCCATTACAGCCTTGTGTAGGTCTACAATTGTCCCTGACATCCTTGGAGAGCTCTTTGGTCTTGGCCATGGTGGAGAGTTTGGAATCTGATTGATTGCTTCTGTGGACAGGTGTTTTTTATACAGGTAACAAGCTGAGATTAGGAGCACTCCCTTTAAGAGTGTGCTCCTAATCTCAGCTCGTTACCTGTATAAAAGACACCTGGGAGCCAGAAATCTTACTGATTGAGAGGGGGTCAAATACTTAACCTCATTAAAATGCAAATCAATTTACGACATTTTTGACATGCGTTTTTCTGGATTTTTTTTATTCTGTCTCTCACTGTTCAAATAAACCTACAATTAAAATTATAGACTGATCATTTCTTTGTCAGTGGGCAAACGTGCAAAATCAGCAGGGGATCAAAGACTTTTTTCCCTCACTGTATCACCTACAATTCAATCCGTTAATCTCTGCCGAGAAAAAAAACTCCAAATTGCGAAATTAACCTTTTGTGAACGAGGGCAACGCCTGATTGTTTAATGGGCCCGGACTGTTCTGCCCAGCTGCAATAAGCGTTCATCTTTTCCACTGCACATCTCAAACCACTCCTTTGAACGTTTTTTTTCCCCGACTCTGAGAGTCGCGGGAGAAACACCAAGATACCAGAAGCCCGTTATTGGTGTCATAAACAGCAGCAATCAGTGCGGGAGTGGAGGTTATTGGGGGCACTTCTACAGATAATTGCTGCTCTCTTACTTTCCATCCCTATCGCTCATTAAACACGGCAAGCCAGCGACCAAACACTCGAGAGAGAAGACACCAACCACACCGTTCCGCACACGGACCCTAAACCTCAGTCACAAGTAGGCTATCGCAACTCCTCGTGCTGCACTTGCCCATGCAATACTAAATACTGCAGAAAAGAATTAGGGGGGGGGGGGTGGAGTGAAAAACTATGCAGGCTACAAATGTTACATCGCGTACCCCAGCCGTTTAGACTTCCAGTTACTGTGCATACTCAACATTCAAAACCCATCGCAAACACCGCAAAAATGCACTGCAGTATAACAAGTAGGATGTCGGAGAAGTGACGAAAATATAGGAACAATGAAGAATAGTTTCTGCGTGTCAGAAAGATGCAATTTCATGGTAGAATTATCGTGAAGCATCGGGTACCGGGCATGCATACAAAAGCTCCTTTCTCATTGGTCCACAGTGGGTAAGAATGTTATAGATGGTAAAAAGTGCCAATGTGGATGCGTAACAGCGCTACGTAATGGATGCTCATTTCAAAATGTGAGGCCAATCGCAAAGTGAATAAATCGCTTTTTCTTAATGCTACCAAGTCATATTTCTCCGTTTTATTTTTAAATGCTGCAACTGTACAACGGTGGCTTCCAAATTGTCATCCGCAGACCTCTGGTGGGCCCACAGCAAGACCTCGGGGAAGTGGTCTGCAGAACTGTTGCACGTACGATTTTTTCTTCTTCACAAAACACCTATTTGTTTCACTGCAAGTTGGTTCTGTGAAAATGTTTCAAGGGTATAATAGTGGTCTGCAAGTCGATAAGACTTAGGAACCACGACTCCGGTATATGTTGTTGAATTAATGCTGTTCAAATACAGCGAAGCATAGAACACACACACCCGATCCAAGAAGACCCAAAAACAGGACGACGTGTTTTAGCGGCCGTTCTCAACAAAGCAGGCTACGGCACCGTTAAAAACGCAAAGCAAATGTATAATAAATATATTTTTTTAAACCTCCGATTTCAAGGCCCCGGCGAACCGAAGACGTTTCAGGAAGCCGGGGAAAATCGTGCCCTAAACCCCTCACAAAACGCACACGACTCGCGCAGACCGGGCATTGACGCTGCTCCATGTGGCGGAGGACCTCGTATAAAGTTAACCGCACGACCCGGCCAACTGAGCACGTGTCTCCTTTTTAAATGACAGAAGGGCTGCCAGCGAGCGTTTACGGTTTCTATAAATAATGCGAATGCAAGCGGGAATGCCGCTTCGAGCGTGCTCCTAACGGGCGAATGGAAATAATTACGAGACGAAACGCGAGGCCCTCTAATGAACTTGAAAGCCACCAAACGGATGCCACCGAGAGAGAAAGAGCGGCAAACGAAATGCTATTGTCCGAGTGCTGTTTTATGCCGAACAGCAAATGCCGGTGTTTGCCAAGCACCGCAGAGGTTAAGTGCAAAAACCTCCGGACCGCACAATTATCGGTAAGAGAGCTACACAAAAACTGCTGTGGAGCGTGCCTTTTTCCAAATTGGCACCTGAACTTGGTGATAAAATTGGGCCGATTCTTTGAAATGTAGCAAACATGCGAGTGGCTCGAGCGATCACATTAAACTGTTGATTTACCAACACGTTTGCGGATTTCAAAATATTTGTTGCCAGGCACACAAGAGGGACTTGTGGGGATCAGAGGACCATGCGTCATCACACAGGTGGCATGGGCTCCACCGCTCCAAACAGGAGGCATGACACACGCACGTTAAATAGCATCGCTGGTAACCATTTGACCTTGGCCTGGAGAAGGCTAATTGGGCAAAATATATTTCCAAACTTCGATTGTTCTACATCATTATTTTAATTGCCGTGTGTTTCCACTACTCCTTGCACATGTGCGATTGACGACATTCCTGACGGTTGTAATACAGTCGTTTCATTTAGCCGTGAGCTCGTGTTTTCAACCGCAATGCTGGATTATAAACAATGCTTCATAACATCACAGTTCTCAAAACACCGAAAGGCCATAATAGTAAATACATTTCGTCAAGTACATAATCAATAAAATTACTCGTGAAGAAAACATATTTGCTGTTAAAACAAAGAGTGCTATTGAAGCCTAAACTGAAATTCAAATATTTTGCACTTCAAATGTTAATTTACAAAGCATATATACAATAAAACTACGTGTTTTATAGGGATGTATCATTTAAACGTGACATGTTTTTAATTAATATGCTTTCAGAATTGTTTTGTCAGTGGAGGACTTTTTTAACTACATGGAGTAATTCTTGGTCATAAGGAAGTTGTTTATGTTGGAGAAAGTGACTTCACAGAATGTGATAAATTTTCCCACAATGTATGATCATTACATTTTTTTCATCTGAGCGACGTGACCACATTGGTTGTAAAAATGTTTTTTTTTTAAACCCTAAACGGCTTTCTTTTTAGGTAGAGAGAAAAAAACACAACCTTTCCTTTTATTTACTCCTCACATACGTGTGCCTGAATATACCGTACGAATGCAGATCTAATAACACAGACAAATACTCTGTTACCGTGATAAAATAGAGGCCCAGCTTTTTTTTTTCTGGGTTCTTCATCCTCGTAGTTATAAACTTTCCGCTTTCATTCTAAAAGTAGGATCCTTGTTGTGGTAAGGGCAGAGCATGTGCAATGCCTGCAGGGTGGGATAAAGGTTTAAAGCAGGAAGGGAAGTGTACGCGTCCGCGAGTGCCCGACTACCCCGAGGCCAAGATGCATGCGTGCGCGCGCGTGTGCGCGTGCGTGTCTGCGCGCGCGTGCTGCGGAGTGGTGACAAAGTAGTTATAACACTGCTCTACAATTAATACGACTTGGCTGAAATTCCTGACCTTGAATAATATTGACAAGTGGTGTCTTTGAACGTAGGCCTGGGAATTCTACGACCAAGTCACCATGAAAATCCCCGATCTCTTATCAGATCTCAGAAGCTAAGCAAATTGGGGCCTGGAAGGGAGAATGTTTGGAAAACTGAGTGTTGTAGACAAGATTTGAGAGGTGGCCAGAAGATGGTAGTACAGCAATGCATTCTTTAAGACATCTGCGCAGAATTTATTGCACGGACCTAAACAGTCAACACAGATAATGTGGGAACCTTGTTCCAAAGAGTGCGTGTTTTGTGCATGCACTTGCATGTATGCGTGCGCGTTAGGAAGCACCTACGAAGGCCGGCAGAGTGTTTAAGAGGTTGGTGTTGTCAGAACCATGCCCGGCCGCCTTTGTCTTCTCAGTAATACATCAAGTAATTATTGAATACTGCCAACTTATGGAAGGCCCAGGACTGGTTCTGTTAAATCCTCCACTGATGTTGGCTGTGGCAGGGAATCTAACACAGGATGCCGGGTTTGCAGCACAGTGCGCTAACCACAACATCGCCTCTCCTGCAACACACCTGCAGGAAACAGTTTGTATGTATGTATGTACGTTGAACTTCTCTCGTGTCGTACGTAGCCAACCGTGCTAATGGGAGTTTTGCTGTGAAGATGGGTTATGGCCTGCAACATCACCTATATATCTTGATTTGAAGCTTTGATGACGGACGCTTGCGTTTGCGACCGAAACGTCGTGTTCTTTTATTATTTTTTCTATCCACGTGACTTTACCGAAAGAACCAGGGAGTACCGCCTATATATATTTTTTTTCCCTCATATGGGGAGTGTTGACGAATGTGTTACGTTTGTGTTACCATGTAGTTGTACACTACCGCCCACACAACAAGACCAAAACGTTTGCTCCATTGCTGCACAAGCGTGCAGCGATTGCCTCAACGGTGCAGAGGCCACACGGGGAGCGACCCGCTGTCTTTGTGTGCGCCCGAGTGCCCGCTTGCTCGACACTCACCAGGTCTGAGCGACCCTCTCGGCACGCACTCTGGAAGCGCATCTGCCGCTCCTCCTGGGGCCGGTCCCGGTAACCGGTGTACTTGACCTGCGGCCGAGAAGGCACATGCACAGACGCACAAACACACAAGCCAGGAGGATCGCTCGCATGAGCCCGCCGCGCAGTCAAGCGAGCGGCTGACGATGCGGTTGCCTCCACCGCAGACGCTTCGTCCAGTCAATCGGAGCGATCAACCCCTAATGATGCGACATGTGAAAGGATTGGCTAAATGTGGCAGTACTTGCTAGGAGAAAGCGCAGCATGTCGTGTTGAAAACATGCTAAATTCAGTCGCGCATTTTGGTGCACGCGTGTGCGTTTATGCAGTTATTTGAATTGATATCTGCTTTAACGCATTCCACGCTTTACGTAAACATGCTGGAAATATAATACACAATTATTGCGAGAGGGCCACCCCGCGCAATGACAGATGTGAGGGTTGTTTGACCATACTTCACCATGCTGGTCAGTACAGGTTGGTGAAGCAGGCGCCGAGGACTGATTCACATATCACTTGCCACATCATTAATTTCATCATGTTCATAGTGTCGTGTTCCAACCACTGCTAGACCACTCCAGTTATAATACAGGTAAAGTAGAATATTGTATATTAAAAATGCTAAGATTATAAAATAAGACTAACAACCTAAAAGTGGGATAGCATACAACATCCGCTGCACCTGGATGGCCTCAATTTGTGTTATAATTTTTGTCGTAATATTTTTGGCAAAAAAAAACTGCCAAAGTCTTCATCACCACGGATTGGGCAAATCGTCAAGCTGTTACGTTTTTTAGATGTGGATCTGTCGATGTATTTTGATATGTAGTGGTAAAGTCTACCTTATAATAATACACATGTGCAGATACATGTACACATTTGTCTATTTCAAAACTAATGGTTTAAATGTTGACGTTTTTTTGTTCCAAATCTAGAGGCAATTTCACATGATTAAAGAGGAAATCTAACGTCTATCATGTTGTGTTACACGTGTTGCAATTAATGGAGAGTAGGATAATACTTTAACGTAGTAATAAAGGGGGGGGGGGGGTGGAATAAATGTTACATAATGTAAATGTAAGACTACAATAATTTGCATTCGCTTAAAAACGTATGCTTTACCCTTATATGACTAAGTATTATTAAGTAAATAACAATATATTTACGATAACATGTGATGACAATTGTTCTGCAAATGACGTGCACTTCACGAGTTGAGCTTTCTCACGAGGATGAGAGAGAAAGATACACGGTTTGTGGGGTTGTGCGTTCGCCATCTCATCTATTTAAAATACGGGCGATGTTGTGTCAACAAAAACCCTGAACTTCTAGAAACCGACGCTTGTTTGAATTACGGTACACGGGGTGAGTTTACATGGCTTGATGATACATGTAAAGTATGTATTTAAAGTGGAAAAGTCAGACGTCTGCCGTGTCCAACGCACCAAACTAAGTGGACAACCTCACTGCAACCGAACCTTCAACAACACAGACCACAGATTTGCCCCACGCGTAGACTTGAAACCAACCACACCTAAAGTTCACCACAAATGCAAAGATCCCCCGTACAGCCTGCAACAGACTGTTGGGGCAAGTGATGATATTTACACACCGCAACCAGGTTACTCATTTGAGGCCGAGTCGACCTAGGGGAGGAAGACCCAGGACCGGTTCGGACACCCGTCACTGATGGGTGTTTGGTGGCCGTGCGCGGGAGTCGAACTCGGGCCGCCGGGTTCGTAGCGGACCGCTCCCCCCCCCCCCCACGCTACAACCACGGAACCACACCACGATTCCAACAGAAACCACACACCGCGTTGACTGGATGCCCCCCACCACCAGATGCCAACACAATTAACCCACGTGCGGCAACCACCGCACTAACCCCCAGTAAACTCAAAAGTGAAGCGAGCGGAGGAGAGTTTAAACCACAGCGCAGCCCTCCCTGCCAGGGGGCAAGGTCCCGCTACCCAGCACCAGTGCAACGCGTGTTAGCCGTAGCCCTGTGGACATGTGTCCATCTGCTAGTCTCGTTGTGTGTGTGTCTCGTTGTGTGTGTCTCGTTGTGTGTGTCTCTTGTGTGTGTCTCTTGTGTGTGTGTCTCACTTGTGTGTGTCTCACTTGTGTGTGTCTCTCGTGTGTGTGTGTCTCTTGTGTGTGTGTCTCGTGTGTGTGGGTCTCTTGTGTGTCTCTAGTGTGTGTGTGTCTCTTGTGTGTGTGTCTCACTTGCGTGTGTGTCTCTTGTGTGTGTGTCTCATTGTGTGTGTCTCTTCTGTGTGTCTCACTTGATGTTTGTCTCCTCGTGAGGAGCGGTGGCGCTGCTGTTAGCGCGCTGCGCTGCGCTACCGAACCCAGCGATTCCCGAGTTCGATTCTCGCTCACGGCCACCAAACTCGGTGTGTGTCTAAGCCAGCGAGACGGACAACAGCTGTCCGTCTATGCCACTGTGGTGCGTTACTGCGAAGGCATTGCTTTGTTTCTCTCGCTGTTTGTGTCACTGTGTGTCTCGCTGTTTGTGTCACTGTGTGTCTCGCTGTTTGTGTCACTGTGTGTCTCGCTGTTTGTGTCACTGTGTGTCTCGATGTTTGTGTCAGTGTGTCTCGCTGTTTGTGCCACTGTGTGTCTCGCTGTTTGTGTCACTGTGTGTCTCGATGTTTATGTCACTGTGTCTCGATGTTTATGTCACTGTGTGTCTCGATGTGATGTTTATGTCACTGTGTGTCTCGCTGTTTGTGTCACTGTGTGTCTCGATGTTTATGTCACTGTGTCTCGATGTTTATGTCACTGTGTGTCTCGATGTGATGTTTATGTCACTGTGTGTCTCGATGTTTATGTCACTGTGTGTCTCGCTGTTTATGTCACTGTCTCGATGTTTATGTCACTGTGTCTCGATGTTTATGTCACTGTCTCGATGTTTATGTCACTGTGTCTCGCTGTTTGTGTCACTGTGTGTCTCGCTGTTTGTGTCACTGTGTCTCGCTGTTTGTGTCACTGTGTGTCTCGATGTTTGTGTCACTGTGTGTCTCGATGTTTATGTCACTGTGTGTCTCGCTGTTTGTGTCACTGTGTGTCTCGATGTTTATGTCACTGTGTGTCTCGCTGTTTGTGTCACTGTGTGTCTCGATGTTTGTGTCAGTGTGTCTCGATGTTTGTGTCACTGTGTGTCTCGATGTTTGTGTCAGTGTGTCTCGATGTTTGTGTCACTGTGTGTCTCGATGTTTATGTCACTGTGTGTCTCGATGTTTATGTCACTGTGTGTCTCGATGTTTGTGCCACTCTGTGTCTCGCTGTTTATGTCACTGTGTGTCTCGATGTTTATGTCACTGTGTGTCTCGCTGTTTGTGTCAATGTGTGTTTCGATGTTTGTGTCACTGTCTCGATGTTTGTCATTGTGTGTCTCGATGTTTATGTCACTGTCTCGATGTTTATGTCACTGTGTGTCTCGATGTTTGTGTCACTGTGTCTCGATGTTTGTGTCAGTGTCTCGATGTTTATGTCACTGTCTCGATGTTTATGTCACTGTGTCTCGATGTTTATGTCACTGTGTCTCGATGTTTATCTCACTGTGTGTCTCGATGTTTATGTCACTGTGTGTCTCGCTGTTTGTGTCACTGTGTGTCTCGATGTTTGTGTCACTGTGTGTCTCGATGTTTATGTCACTGTGTGTCTCGATGTTTATGTCACTGTGTCTCGCTGTTTGTGTCACTGTGTCTCTCTCCGTCCCCCATCTATCGTCACCCCTTCTGCCTCTACGTCCGTCTCAGTGTCTCCGAGACTTCTGTGTCCTGTCTCCATGCGTTTCTGTGACAGTCCATGTCCCTCTCTCGTCCTGTCTCTCTCCAAGTGTCTCCATGTTACCGCTGTCTGTGTGCAATCTCCCCGTGTCTCCACGTCTCACGATGCGTCTGTGTCTCTCTGTCCACCCCCTGACGTGTCTCCGTATTCACGTGTCTAACCCCGTCCCCAAATCCACGTCTTCTTGTCTCTTGTCGCTGTATCACCATCGCTGCCCGTGTATCACCGCGTATCTCGCGTATCTCTCGTCTCACCCCCCCCCCCCCCCCCCCACACGTGTCCTTCCCCTACCCGTCTCCCTGTACCCCCCCCCCCGTGTCTCTGTACCCCCCCCCCCCAGTGTCTCTGTACCCCCCCAGTGTCTCTGTACCCCCCCAATGTCTCTGTACCCCCCCGTGTCTCTGTGCCCCCCCCCAGTGTCTCTGTACCCCCCCCCCAGTGTCTCTGTACCCCCCCCCAGTGTCTCTGTACCCCCCCAATGTCGCTGTACCCCCCCCGTCTCTGTACCCCCCCAATGTCTCTGTACCCCTCCCGTGTCTCTGCCCCCCCCCGTGTCTCTGTACCCCCCCGTGTCTCTGTACCCCCCCCGTGTCTCTGTACCCCCCCGTGTCTCTGTACCCCCCCCCCGTGTCTCTGTACCCCCCCCAGTGTCTCTGTACCCCCCCCCAAGTATCTCTGTACCCCCCCCCCCAGTGTCTCTGTACCCCCCCCCCGTGTCTCTGTCCCCCCCCCCGTGTCTCTGTCCCCCCCCCCGTGTCTCTGTCCCCCCCCCCCCGTGTCTCTGTACCCCCCCCGTCTCCCCGTACCCCTCTAGTGTCCCCGTGTCTCTCGGCAGTCCCCGCCAGTGGCCCCCTGTGCGTCCCCGCGTCCCCCACCTCGCACTCGCGGCTCAGCTTCCTGAAGAACTCCTCATTGTCGAACTTGCTCCGCTGATCGGGAACCACGCGCGGCATCTTGACGCCGAGCGCAAGCTCTCCTCCTTGCCTCCACCTCCTCCTCCTCCTCGTCTCCACTGCCTCTCCGCTAGCACCACCACCAACCACAACTACCACCGCCGCAGCTACAAAAAACAGCAACAAGCGACGCTGTTAATTGCTTAATTGGTTAAATTCACGCCGCGCGAGTGCAGTCGGAGCGGCTGCCCCCACCCCCCGCAACAACCGCGCGCTCTCAACGCGAAAAGTTTCACCATTCATAACGCGGGCGATACCAACTCGTGCTGGGGAGGGGGGGGGGTGGGCGGGCTCGTTGGCGCGTGTCCGGGGCGTGGGCTCGACAACACCGCCCTCGCCCTTCCCATTCAAACCTCCCCCCCCCCCTCGACACCCCTGCTCAGCGGCTCCTATTGGACGAGCCCCCCTCCACCTTTCTCTCTCTCTCTCCATCCCGGCTGAGTGTGGGAGGCGGATGTTGACCATAAAAGGAAATCGCCACTCGTGGGGGGGGGGGGGATTTTTGGGACAAACAGCGGGGGAGGTGACGTCACGCCCCGTGTCGTTTATTTTTCTTATTTAAGGGAGTGGCCGAACGGGTTAAAAAATAAAAGCGAAGTTTATCAAAGATCGGCAAATAAATACGCCGCCCCCCCTCCCGAACACTCGTTAAATATCTATAATTTACGATGTTAAAAAAACATTATCCCCCCCACCCATCACAACAGAATATTAATACTAGTAACGCACTTATTACGTTATTAATGTCAACCCCTTATCAGTGCCTACCTTATTTAAGACCTTATTGGTCACCCACGTGCCCTTATAAATCTCAACGTTCATCCTACAAAGTCCCATCACAAAGGAGAAACACAATCACATAGACAAACACATGTTGCCCGTATTGAAACGGCTGTACGCCGTATGGGCTTGAAAACTCAATTTTCCTCTACAAAAATACGGGGTAAACCGTATGGGTTGACAGCTATTGTCTTCACATCATTTATATATGTCCATTATCTTTGGCATTGGCCGAGTTAAATGGGCCCCATATTATAATAAAAAGTGTGGGACTCCACATATATGGGTTTGCAGAGGGCAGATTTTGCATCGGTGAGCATTGGTGATGATACTGAGTTGATAATTAAGTTATCATACCTGTCAACCCCTTATCAGTGCCTTCCTTATCACAGAATAATTCAGACAGTATTGGTTACCCCGTGCCGTTATAAATGTCAACGTCCATCCTACAATGTCCCATCACAAGGGAGAAACACCAAAATAAGACAAAAACAATGTTTTGCCCGTATTGAAACGGCCGTACGTCATGTGGACCGAAAATTACATTTCCCTGCACTAAAATACGGAGTAAACCATATGGGTTGGTAGGTATGAGTTATAGTGACGACAAACGCCGGTCCTGCAAGTTTGTGCTGCTGTTGTCACTTGATAAAAATCCATTTATTTGATGATGATTGAAGGTATCGCAATGCTGTTGTTCAGAAATTGTTGATGGTTTTTGCATATAGGCGGTATGTTTATTACATACCTTAGTCTGTTGATACTATCGCCCTCTACAACAGTCACTGCAGATTTATCCAGGACTTTTAGGTTGTTATAAAAGAAAATGTTTACGAGGAGCAATAATATGTTCGTACGCAATACAACTGTTTTATTCAGGACATGCTGGTCTAGGTCACCCTTGCAAACGAGGTATTCCATTTCAACAGATTATCCATGTGAAATATTTCAATAAATCCCCCCAAAATTGGCAAATGACCCCTGAAGTTGTGATACTGCCTTGGCAAAAACAAAATCTCAACATTCCTCAATCGCACTGCCCTAAAGAGAAAACAAATCCTATAAGTGACGTTTCAGGCAATCGGCCTTCACAACAATATTAATAGCAGTGTCAACATCCTCTATCCAGAAAAGTCTCAATGAGTCTCAAGACTCATCTGCAGGAGGGCCCTGCATAGAGTGGCGTGGGAAGAAATCAGATTAGCAATAGCAAACACGTTCATACGCGATGTAACAAAGCTCCTAATGGACTGAACCATCCATTTGCTGTACATCTGCTGGCGACCTTCTACCATCTGGCTATCTATCACTTGCAGCCCGACAACGTGTGGCATTTGCGAGACACTTTCCCGTGCACTCCCAAGCCCTGCTTAGTTTATATGGACCTGGGGGCGCACGGAGAGTGATCTGGGTATAGGCGTGATCCGTGGACAGTTGCACGGCTGCGGACGTACTTTTCAGACAATTTTAATACAGCGTGTGGGTCATGGCATAACCACTAGTGTTTGCTTTATTTGAGAATAATATGTCGACGAATTCGGACTGTAATCGTATTTTTTTATTATTATTGCAGAGAAATATGTTGTCCACCTTCATAAGGGCAAAATGTTCGTAAAACTGTGATGTCGGGCATACTCAATCGTGCTGGCACGAATGGGGAATATTGCTGCAATAGATAATAGTTTTTACGTTGTTGTATATGCTCTGTAAAAGAGCCATTTCCTAAAACGTTGCCTATTATATATTTCAAGGCAGTGTGATTGATAAATGTGTTATACGTTTTATGTAGACGATAATATGTGGATGAAAAGCAAAGTAGATGTAGTTTTAGATATATTACCCTTACTTCTCTGTTTACAACCAGGTGAGAGACCACTGACAACTGAGCCACTTCTTCTCGTGAGCTCTTGGATGGAAAATATACAGCATACAAACCTAAAACTGTGTATACTACACAGTATTTTGTATTGCTAGTATAATATGTAGCAATACAAAATAAATAGGTAGAAACAGAAAGAAAATGCTTTTGAAAAAAAATGTTGCTCAAACAGTACATTCATGTTGGGTTATATTTAAAAAAATTCAAATACAGTGCTATAATGTCACAGTGATTCACGAACTGAGCTATGAACCTGCGCCAACCTAAGTTTGATTACTGGCCAAGGCTAACATCAGTGGTGAGTGATATCTCTGAACCCCATCACCCTCCCCACGCTGACCAGCAAGGTCGACTAAGTTAAAACACCCACACGGCCTGGGGAGGGCTTTCATCCAGCAGTGGATTGAACATGCTCAAAGGATTGCCATTACCCTTTGAGGTGGTGACGAAGTCCTCGCTGAATCTTGAGATGGTTTTCGTGAGTGTCATCCATGGTGATGTCTGGACAGTCAATCCCGTTGCGAGTGTTTACATGCGTGAGGAAACCAGCGTTCCTGGAGAAAACACACACACAGCGGGAGAACACTTTTAATGAAAACTAACTAATAGGCGACGTTTCAAACAATGGCCCTTCGTCATAGCATATCATTTTTTTAAGTGGCTTGTGCACCACTGCCAATGCAGCATCACCAAATAAATCATACTCCCGAACAGTTAAGTGGGAAGCAAATTTGCTGTACTCCCTCTTAAAGTTACCTCGCTACTTCTGCATGCGTGTGTGTCTCAAGCATACCATTGTGTCGATGAATCCAGGGCAGGTTTTATACTTCATCCACAAAACGTACACTTTAAAGTGTACAGAGTGGCGCATACATGTGAATTGAAAATACCGTATTGGCATTAATGAAGTGGCCTGCATTCGGATCCAGATGCCAGTAATTGTGAGCATATACATGAAACCGTTAAATGGCTATGTTAATCAAATAGAAGGCTCGTTATGCTGGATTAAATTAAGGGGATGTGTAACTTATGTACCGAATGAAATTGTGCCTTTGTGTAAAAGTCCACACATGTGCAGCTATACAAGGGTTAGTTGCGTCTCTTGAGAGCCATTTGCCAAGCCACTGCTGGATGAAGTGCTCATGCCGTATTAGTCATGGGGATTGTTTGACCATATTCACCATACTGGTCTATGTGGGTTGGTGGAGGGAGGTTGGGGGCGGGCATGACCGTTTCAGACATCACTCGCCACTGATGGTAGCAGTGGCCAGATATCGAACTCAGTTTACCGGGGTTCATTGCGCAGTGTGTCAATCACTGCGTCACCCCTTTCCCAATACCGGAATGCAGGATATATATACCATCTCACTCCCCTGATTGCACAGTCACCATAACGGCCTAGATCTCTTTGTGAAATCCAAAATCAACCTCCAAACTGTGGGACATCGCTCTTTCCCCTCTGCTGCCGCTGATGTTGAGAAATTCTCCTGGCTCTCCGCACTCCTGATTCTCTCGTCCCTCATATAAGACTTTCCTTCTCTACGGTGCCATCGATTCATTTTGACTGCTACCCCTTTGGCTCTTCCATCTTCAGCCCAATCGCCGTCACGAGTCAAGAGATGTTTCTGAAGTCATCACTGAAGCAATGGCCGTGGCGGGGATGTGGCCCAGCTGTTGAGTCTTTTCCCCTTGATGCAGTGGCTTGTGGTTCGGGCCCCACAGCCGCCCTGGTTAATATGGCAGTGTGTTGTAACCATATGTACCACAGCACACGTAAAAGTTCCCGTCACGTTATTCTTATGTTATTAGGAAGCCACCGGAGCTATGCACTGTTAAATCTAGTTTGAAAACTAATTTTTTTAGAACTGTTTTTTTGTGTGTTCGTTTGTTGTCCTTCACCCGCACCTCCGATTAGCGTGGTTGGCTACGTACGGTGCGAAAAACGTTCAACGTACACACAGTACATTCTAAAAGGGATATGTCCCGTTTGCCAGCGCCACGGTCAAAATGTGCTACATTTGAAAATGTACTCAATTGGGGAGAGCACATAGCAATCTACTGTGAAACGGCTGCAGACGATGCCTGTGAAACATAGCGCCTTAGTCAATTGCCTCGCGATTTAACGGTGCAAATACCAAAGGCATTGATTTGATTATACAGTCGATCGCAGTATAAGTCATCATTTGTGCGGCGTTGAGACGGCCCGTGTCACGACGGGTTACTCAAATTATTCCCAAACTTGTGCTCTTGTTTTTAATATAATTTCATTATTTATTTTGTCTGAATGTGCTGTTTATACGCTTGCCCTGTGCAGATTCTTGAGTTGCTTAGATATTTATAAGGCATGTAAAATTAAGATATATTTTCTATATATGTATATTTTTTTAAATGTGTGGAACAGACACAAAATTGTGGCTACGGGAATGCTAAAACAACCCCGCCACGTCCATGTTTATTTTTCTAGAATTGGACAGACGAAAACAGTGGACAATTTATTCAAAATGGCATCGAATGGAATTACACATGCAGCCACGAGCTTAGAGCCACGATCAAATTCCTTACATGGGGTAGTTTTGTTTTTCATACGGTGAAGATTTGAATAAAATTGTATAAG